GCGCCGCCGTCGCCGCCGCCTCCGCCGCCCCTTTCCCGCGCTCCTGCCGCCTCGGCCGCCGCCGCCGCGAGCTCGGCCGCCAGTGGTCCGCGGACTTTGGGTGTCCGGGTTGAAGGTCGGTCCGGACGTCGGACCCAGATCGGTTCCCGGACTGTCCGCGGCCGCGCCGCCTTCTCCTCGCCTCAGCCTGGGGTTTTGTTCCGAGAGATCCGAGAGGCGAGCGGAGCTGACAGTGATTTTGACAGTGATTTAAACCCGCTTTTGTTGTTGTTGGCTTTTCGTTGTTTGGTTTTGTGTGTTGTGCGTGTGTGTGGCGATTTTTTCCCCGTGGTGCCTTTTTTTTTTTTTTTTATTGTTGTGCATTTTTTTTCCTTTTTTGTTTTTCAAACCCCGTGTTTTTTTTTTTTTTTTTTTTTTTGTTTTTGTTTTGTTTTTTGCTCGGGGCTTCCGAATATGTTTTATGACGGTTGATTTTACACCAGGAGGTTTGTCTCCGAGGAAGATCCAGGGAACTGGATATCTAGCGAGAACTTCCTACGGCTTCCCCGGCGCCTCGGGAAAATGGGAGCTGCTGCAAAGTTGGCGTTCGCCGTCTTTCTTATCTCTTGTTCTTCAGGTAGGTGCAGGGAGCGCGGCGGCGGGGCTGCTGCAGGCGGAACGGCTCTCGCCGCTGGCGGCCACCGCTGTGCTGGGTCTCGGTGAGCTCCAGGGCAGCCTGGGGAGGTTTCCCACACCCTGAGCCCCTCCGCTGCTACCCCCGGGTCTGATCGGGATCTGGAAACCTCCATGAATTTTTCTTGTTTTGAGTTTGGCTGACGAACTGATAAGAGTGCTGTGTTGTGGTGGAAGTGAGAAAGTCATGGTCTGTGGCCATAACACTGGATGACAGCGCTGGTTGGGTTGCAGTTAAGCCACAAATACCACAAGTGACAATTTATGCAAAGGTTGAGACCCAAAAGGAGTATTCCGAAATGTCATCTAGCGTAAGCTGCTCCCAAACCAGGGTGGCTTTTGTCGTCTTCTAGTTCTGTGTAGACCTTCGCCGGTGAATCTCACGACATGGATCAAGTCGGTGGCTACTTAATTTTGGCCGTGAGAAACAGTGCATCCTGTTAGCAATTTAATCCAGCTCTTCTCACGTTTTCTTTAACTTCTTTGTCCAACAGTGTTATAAATAGTTGTTTTTGGAGCATTAACTATAACCCAGTGCAGAAGAGGTATGCCACTGTGTGTTGGTAGTGTGCTGGCTTCCAACCACCATTTGTGTGCTCTTTTCAGGCAAACATTTTGCTTACCTACGGAAGACTTATTTTAAATGCTTTGTATTGAAGCATTGTTTTCGGTTTAGCACAGCCTACGTGAAATTAGTCTTATTGTTAAATATGCCTTACTTACTGATCTAGTAGCCCAAGGTTGTAAGAATAACCTGGCTGTTTTATATTTAAAATTTTTATTTTGTGAGGACATTCTGCGGTTGCAACCAGTGGTTGGAAAGACTGTCTAGTCTTTTGTATTTGAGATTCTGTAAATGAACACAATATATAGCTAAAAGGTGTGTGGAAATGTGCCTAAGAGGAGAGTTAGTTTCATAGATGAAAGAGTTTAAAAGTCATGATGAAATCTGTGTATCATAAATATTCAATATTCAGTTACTAGCTTGTGAAATAGAATTATGGGGGGGAGGCGAATTGACAGGTTTCATGGCCAAGTCTTTATCTCATTTGCCACAGGGAAATTAGAGGGTGGTAGTCTTTTCTTTGTGTACCTTTGTGTGTGTGTGTGTGTGTGTGTGTGTGTGTACGCGTGTGCGCGCACGCGTGCACTCCCCCCATAGAATCTTCTGTAATGTATAGAATTTTGCTGAATGGTACATTTCCCTGTGGTTAATAAATGGATAAAGTCTAGTCTTATGTCTGTAGTGGTATTGATCAGTTCCGGGCGGGCTCAATGTGTTGTGAAATGGCGATCATTGCCAGAGATTAGCCAAAAGAATCATGTCTGTTCAAATGGAAGAAGGAACATGCTTAAGGCAGGCTGACAGTTCTTTTTGTGCATGGTTTGGGAGGAAGCTAAACAATGGTGTATCTGAAATGAATGAAGGCCTTGATCACATTCAACATCTTGCTTTTGTGAAATGACTTAACCATCTAGTTTTGCTGGTTCCTGTAGTAAGTGCTCCTTCTCCTCTCTCCCTGTATGTTCTGGCTGGTGAACTCCTCTGATTGAAATCCCTTTTTCTGAGCTCCTGCCCTTGAGGAGGAGGAGCATCATGGCCACTCACCAAGGGCTTGTGAACAGTCTTCCCTTCCAAGCCCACCTGAGTCACTTTAATGGTTGAAGAAGGTTATTCTTGAGCAGTCTCAAGGTATTACTTCTGGAAAAGCAGACTAGCACTGCAGAGCATTACAGCTTTTTCTGTTGGTTTGGAGTAAAAAGAATTGAGCATTAGTTTCTTGTAGGATTATTTTCATTGAACCAGGAGGTTAACAGTGAACATTTTGAAATAAAGTAATATTGTTGCTATAGATCATATGATATGCTATTTGCATTAAACTAACATTAAGTATTGTAGCATAGATTTTTTTTAAAATGAAATTGCTTGTTGAACTAAAATGTGATTGCATTGAAGATAATTGAAGTAATCTTAAAAGCCTTAATCCATATTTATACATGAAGGTTTTTAGTACTTAAAATGTCTGATTTTTTTTTTGAAAAGGCTTTGTTATGAGTAAAATGCACTCTAAAATAGGATTATTGTGTTTTTTTCCTAATTGATTTTTCTGTGTAATGTGTAATCTGGCATGCTAGAACCATGAGGGCAACTATTTTTATGAGAATTAAGAAATTTATCAGGTTGTCAGGTTTTTTTATGGATATATATTTATCTCAAATGGAAAACAGTAGTAAAAATTATTATTTTTAGGTATTTAGGATGGATGTTTACTGTTTTCTTTAGCATTTGGTGGACTTCGATTTTTTTTAGTTTCCATCCTGTGGTATGTGCTCTGGAGACTGATTATGCAGACAATTCTTATAAGATATGGCCAAGTATAATTTTCTCCTCTCTCATTCCAGAGGAAACATTTTGAGTTTGCCCTCATCCGGGAATGCCTTTAGATTCCCTTTGATTTTGAATTTTTTTATTCCTTTTATCCTTCCTCAGATTCTGTTTCAAAACAAATCTCATTTTTTTTTAAAAAGAACATGGTTACTTTGTTTTTCATAGTGTGTTAAAATGTGAGATGAATATGATATTACCACCAGAGAATATCTAGGTTTATCTCCCTAGAATGATGCAGCTATTGAAGCATTTGAGTTGCATTGAAGTAAGTTGAGATTTCATTTGGATTCTGTGGGAGCGAAAGCAGTGGGGTTAATATATTTGATGAAATGAGAAATGGAGATGTAATTATGTTACATTTTCTTCAGTTTAGCTCTGCAGTACTGTGTTTGGTGCACATGTGGGTGGGAGTTTGTATGGTTGGAAGAAGAGTTGGCATTTCAGAGCCTCTTCTGGGACCAATCTGAACTTTGGCTGACAAGTATAGATATTAAGTTGCTTGTTTTCTAAAAGGCACTATTTCTTAAATGTTGTCTGTGATCAGGTTTAAATAGAATATAACATTGAAATTTACAGACCTGAAAAACAAAAAAATAGTATCCCTCTGTTTTTTTGTTTTTTTTTTTTTTTTAAATTTCATTTGAAATTTTTTTCTGTATAAGCTCTAAGTCAGTAGTTCTCAAACTGGGGTGTTTTGCCCCTCACCCACGGCAGCACTGGAGACATTTCTGATGGTCTCACTGGGGCGTGGAGTATGTGTGTGGGGGGTTGTGTGCTGCTGGCATCTAGTGGGTAGAGGGCAAGTAGGAATCCTGCTAATTATCCCGCGGTGTACAGGACAGCCTCCACAGCAAAGAATCACCTGGCTCAAAATGTCAGTAATGTTTAGACTGAGGAATGATGTTATAAACTCTGAAGTTTTTGTTGAGTTTTAATTTTTATTAATACTTGTGATATATACGGATCATATTCCTTGTGGGAAGTTGGTATGTGCACATAACACATTTCAGTTCTTTTCTCACGCCCCGCACCTTCCCCTAAACTTTTTTTTAAAGTATTAATGTATTAGCAAAATGGCTGTGCTTGCTCATTCTCTAGGGTCAGTATCTAAATTTTCTCAGTACATAGCATTGATCTTCAGGTGACTTTGTATTGAAAGGTTTTATATTTTATCTTTTAAGATTAGAATATTACTAAATTAGGGAACTACACTATGGTCATATGTTATTATTTCATCCTATCCTTCTTTAATAAATGTATTTTACTGACCGTTAGGAATAATTCTTCAATACCAGTGGTTTGTTTGTGAAAACTGCATGTTTGTAGTTACGATGAATGAATGATTAGTTAATATACTGTTTAATTATATTTGCTTTTTTATCTAGTGTTTTCTCTGCTACAAGTGTATTTATTTCCTTTAAGGATATTTCTTTTTATCCTTATTGAAATCACTGTGCTGAATGGCCATGGAGAGTGTGTGTGTGGTTGTGTATGTTTAACTTGTCGCCTAAAAGTTTTGTATCATATGGGAAAGTATGTTCACTACTATGTGTTCCTTGAATGATTTCAAGGTATAAATTGGTATGAATTGATTTAAAAAAAAACCTTTGTTTTTTCTAGTTAACTTTAATCTCTAAAACCTTTGAAAGTAGTTTCCTAATTGTTGAGGAGCATTAGCTTGGATTTGATTACCATTACTCGCATCTGGGATGCACTAAGTAGTAGTCTGTGACCAAGAGAATGTTACGCACGCTCATGCCTTTCAAAAGGTTGGATTTTGATCCTAATAAATACTTTATTTTGAATTCTGTATTTCAGAAACTTAACTCAGCCAGCCAGTATGAGAGTTACAGTGAAACTCTTAAAATAAGAAACACTATACCATTGAGGAAAATTCTAAAGTCACTCCCACAAAAAATATGCAAATCAGCCTCATACTGTTTTTGTAATACACCTCCTCATAACCTCCTTCTGGTACTACTGACATTTTTACCTTTTGGGTCCATCATACCCAGTGTGTTTGTAAGAAGTGACGCATAATTAAACTGAATGAGATTTTAATAATCTAAATTGTTCTTTCATATTTGAAGACAATTTTGTTGTACTTTTGTTTCATAAGTACGTCTATGTCTCATTTTTGATGTCTTATAAATCAGTTATTTAAACTTGCATTTTCATGTTCCCTTATGTTTCCACTTGTCATAGTGTCCATAAGTTCCTGGTTAGCTAGTTGGCAACATTTCACACTGGGGTCAGTGGGACATCTTTATTCTTTACGTTGTAAACCTCAGCATTTCTTTAATTTTTTTTTAAAATTATAGTTCTCATTTTACTTTTTCCCCTTTTTGTCTATTGCTTTTCTCCCCTCTGTGTCCCTTTACTATATGCTGCTCTGTTTTGGACTCGAGTTGTTGTTAAGCATCATGGGTGCCAAAAGAGGGCTCACTTACCATTTAATGAAACAAATTGAATTTAGAATGTTTGAGAATTGACCAGTCTTTCCACTGTTTTTCATTTGGTGGCTTCTGAACTTCCACATATACACTTGGGAGTAG